TAAAATATTATCAGAATAGGTATGATTTCAATCTATGAATGTTTTTTGCCATTAATAAAAACAAGACTAAAAAGTCCCTTTTCAAAAACATGTTTTTAAATTATGAACCATAATGAGTGCTAAAGGAAAAAAACCCACAACAGAACTGTAAACTCAGCTAACTTCACTACTTCTTTTCCTGGGGGAAAGACAATACAATACCTTCTTCCTCCTTTATAACATCTTTAACAGTGACAGACATATATTGCCATCACCTTTTTTGAAACTGCTTAGGGACCTTAAAATACTAATGAGAACGGGATTTCTCGAAGTTGGCTGCAAGCAGTCACCATGTCCTGCAGGCCACATGGAATGACTCTGACACCATCCATGACGACTACCACAGTTGTACCACCTCCTTGGAAGCTAAAGGAGAAGTGGTGCCTAGAAAAGCTCCAAAAGAAGGCAAGCAATGGAGAATGGGTTCCCTTCTTCCCCTGCCTATGAAATCTGCGTTTTCCAGGGTAGCCATCTGGAGGCAGAGCTGAACCTGGACCTTCTCCATCCTGGCTGGGATCCCACTGAGGGTCTGCTGAGTGTCCTTGCACAGACCGTACTGGGCAGAAACCTGCAGGCACATTCCCTGTGCTGGCTACAAGGGAGAGCCTGGCCATAACAGTTCCTCTTTGGGAACATGGGCAGTGACCCTAGCACGTGGAGTATGACCTGCCTTATGGCTAAAAGGTGACTATCTGCTGTGTCTGATCCTCAGCTCCTGTCTCAAAGGGCTGAAAATGCATTTCACCTTAAACCAGCTCAAACCCATCTCTAAATGAATAATTCCTTCAAGTCTTGTTTAATCCATCTGCAAACGGCTCCACTCATTAGTTTGCCATGGCACAAATCCCTTCTGAAGGCCTACAGCAGGTCAGCATGTGTGTGTACATGCATGTGCTGAGTGCATATGTGGTGGAGCAGCTATTTGCTAGTGACCAGAGGCATCTCCCCCTGTCCTAGAAGAGGAACAGCGCCAAAGCTCAACACCACTTGCTGTGAACTTCCATCGTGACAACCTGTGGTAAAGGAGGCATGCACCACAGCAGCTCACAGGTTGCACAAGGTGCACCTCTGATAACCATCATTACCTCCCATCCTCTGCCCATCTGCAGAACTAGATGGGGATTAATTCTCATCTCCTGCAAGAAAGATATAAAGTGGACGATGAGGCAGAAATCCAGTTTCAATACCCTTCACAAAGTAGCTCTTCCATCTTTTGGAGTATTAAATAAGAAAGAGGAACCTGCAGAATTGTATTAGCATAACATTACATATGATGCTTTAAATTTGTAAGCATTATTAAAGAATACTGGGGTGTCACCATGATCCATACTATAACATCAGTGACTGGTGAGAAAGGTGAGGAGAAACAACTTTTATAAAGCACAGGTATCTCTGGTTCAGGTTCAGTGCATGCTTCACAGGTAAGCAAGATTTTGTTCAGCGAAAAACTTCTATCATGAATACCCTTTAGGCATGAAAATTTCCAATACATTGAAAAAAAGAGTAGCAACTGCCCAACTGATCCTGCAGTACCACCCCTAGCACTTTAACTGCCTCACCTGTCTAACACATTCATCACACAATGACTTTGTATTTCATAAAAACATAATTAAAACCAAGCATTCAGACAACATCATCAGTGTTGCTGGATCCTGTTGGTACTACCTGCCTCTGCAGATCAACCGGTAACAGTAACAGGAGTTTGTGTGTGTGTCTGTTAATTTAATAACAGAGCAAATAACACTGTTAAAAGTACAGGGCAACCCTCTCATCACTGCCCTTAGCCACCATTAAACCCTGCATATGGGTCTGATGACTTTGGGTTGTAACACCACAGGGTGCTGGGGGCCAAGGAAAGACAAGCAGACAAGATGCTCAGTGCCTTTTTCTCCTCCCGACTTGCAGCATAACCTACCTTACATAGCTTTCACCTGGCTAAGTCTACTCTCACAGCTGCTCTGCTGGTCTAGGTGAGGGAACAAAAGCAAGCTCTAGTCCTGCCTGTTACCATGGACCATGGAAACAGGCGAAGCTGTGCCTGTCTTCATGCCACCAGCAAAGATGTAGGCAATCTTAAGGCAGCCAGACCTAGAGAGGAGAACTGATGGCCCAGATTCACAAAAGTACCTGCCTCTCATTGACTCCAGCAGGACATATCTCAAAACCTATGTCAATTTAGTTTTAATTCTCCCATCTTTCCCTTGCACAAAAGCACTATAAGCTAAAGCATTAGGTTTCGATCAGACACAAGGTACTGACAAAATTTTGAAGGCACAAAATTCTAGTAATTACTTCTGTTCATGACTTTTTTCCTCCTCACCATGTCACTCTGCTTTGTACTTTTTGCTTCTCTTCAGCGCAAAAGAGAAAACTAGAGAAAATAATTCCCCCAGCACATGGTGTCCTTCCTCCTCAGCCCTAGCAAGGACTACCAGATCACCCTTCTGAAACTGCAGGTAGAAAAACCTACCATTCATTACCATGTTTCCCTTCAAAAGCCTGCTGTCAGCCACACTCCAGTGAGGTGGCAGCTGCCTGGATGATGGGGAAGGGATTTGGGAAACATATTTCAGGGGACAGCTCAAACTTCAACCTCTAAGGTACTTCCACGGCTCTCCTCCCTTCATCCCCCAGACTTCCATTTGCATTTGTACAACCACTTAAAAACAGTTTGGGGGTCTGGGGAGGGTTCTCGCTATTCTAGCTTGACCTCATCAAGGAGAGTGGTCAAGCAAGGGCCACAGCTTGAAGTACACCGCTTGCACCTCAGTGGTAAGGGCTGATGCTGGGCTTGGCCCAGTACACAGAGTTTAGCTGTGACTGCAGGAACTGCCTTTCAGATAGGTTTTTAAAATTGATCTGTTAGTGTGGTTTAGCTGCCAGCATCGACACAGTAGAGCTCTTCTGTGCTGCCTACAATATAATGGGGGCTGGCAGCCTCCCCAAAACACAGCTGTGCTTGGAGATTTCCTTGCTGGCCACAGTGTCCGTGAGTTGGAACAGAGGTGGAGAAGCAGTATCAGCTCCATCATGTGCTCCTCCCACATGGAACAGTCTCCCCTGCATGTGCGTCCATCCCGCTCTCCTGCCCCTGCCAGGGCTTATTCCAGTCTACTTGCAGATGTGCTCATGGTTCCCTGCAATCATTTGTTTCTTTTCATAAACTATTCAGTAATGTTTGCAGAACATAAACCAGTTAGGACATCTTGCCCAGGGACAGACATCAGCAATCCAGAGATTCAGAGAAAGCAAAGCTAAACGATGCTGTTACTACAGTACTTTAGAAGGGTACCAGTGTCTCTCCCTGCTCATACCACATCCAAAATGTTCAACTAAGTAAGCAAGCACTGTGCAGCCTGAACAGAGTGGCTACAGTTTATGCTATACTGCCTCATCTGTTCTTTGCACCAGCTGTTCCTGGAAGGAGGTGCCACTGAATTGTTTCTCTCTTCCTCTGATGCTCTGGAAGAAAGACAGAGGGCATTTTTTTTTTTTTAATCTTGTCTTTTTAGCAAAGGGAACAGGGCCGGATTGTTTTGCATTGGCACTTGCTACCTTCTCATCCTATGTTGTTCTTGCTGCGCAAGCATGGTACAAGACATTACATGCTGAAATAATATTTAGGTTTGCAGCTGGGCTCGTTACTGCTGTAATTTTGAAGGTATAACCAGTCATCAGCATTTCAAAATACATTCAGTTTTCACTAAAGAGGCAATTTCGACAGGGCAATGACCATAAATGAATGACAGTGTACCCAAGAAGAACGAACAAAGCTGCCAGTCTGTCAATAATTTGTCCGATGTGTCATCCCAGTTTAATTAAGAGAAAAAATTTACTGTAAGAGACAGGAGAGCAAGTCAACTCTCCTACAAAGGTGCCTCCTTTGTGCATTAAAAATAATCTTTTGTTTTGAATTACTGATGGACAAGCAGCTTATGGCAAACCATTCTCCAGAATTAAATAGATGGCTGAAAAATATGAGACAAATTCATCCTTTATGCACTGGATAAATTTGACTCTGGATGATTTGTGGGTCTTTCAAACCCACCTTGGTGAATATTCCTGCAGATTTTGTATCCTACAGGTGCTGAGCTGACCCCAACTACAGGCAACTCTCAGCTCTTCAGCGAGCAGCCACGGTGGCCACGATTTACTCCTCTACCCCAGGGGGAACGGAGCTGCCGCTTACCAGCACTGCCCTTCCCAGCTTTGCGCTGCACCTCTGAAGGCACCCAGCAAGCTGTGCCCCAGAGCCTGCCAGACAATGTCTCCTAGCCAAATCCAGTTTCTCCCACTTCTGAAGTTTCGGTGGAAGAGCAAAAAGCTTTCTCAAGTCTTGGGAAAACTGCTTCAATCTGAATATTAATTTTTCGATCAGAAGTCTAGTCTCTCAGCATGTCGAGGGATGCAAGGCAGCTCCACGGATGTTGCTTACACCAGCTAAGAACCTGTATGGTATTAGGGCCAAAATAATCTGTTTTCACTGAATGATCTGGCCAATGACTAACTATACAATAAAAAGGTTATTCTATGACATGATTCAATGACATATTTCTCTATAGTTCTGGAAATCTAGATACAGTAGCACCACATTTGTGTCGGAGAAGGAGAAAGCTGACTGCTTATAAAATAAAAGCTATGCTGTATAGAGTACTTGTTTTGTCAAAGATGAATGAAGTCAGAAAAAACAATAAAAACAGTGCATTTTTCAAGAACATTGATTCAAGGGACTAGCTTTCTCCAGTATAATAATCAAAGATACCACATCACATATAAATAAACTGGGGACTGAGAGCTGTAGCGTTAACCTGGTAATGTTCCACAAGGCAAATACATCTAAGTGCATTTATCTCTCTCAGAGCAGATATGTAAAAGCACTCGCCTCCATCATGCTGTTGTCCATTATCAGGTCTACATGCAGGCCCAGAAAGACTATGTAGTACATGTATAAATATACATACCCGACTTGGGTACAGTCTCGATATGGCAGCACTGAAAATATGCTACAGAAGGATCTTCTGCTGCTGATAAGGACTATTCTAAAATATAAAAGAAAATAAAAGAAATCAAAGACTAAAATTTAAAAATCCCACCACAATAAGCAAAGCAACAGATGTAACCGTTGAGGAATTCATAATCGTAAAACTTCCATCATGAATGATTTCTCCCTCCTCTTTCTTATCGCACAGGTAGGGTATCCTACTGAGTCTTTACAGAAGTGCTGGTGCCATACATTACACAGCAAATGGGTAGTGGAGTCCCAACCCCTCTACAGGCTTTCTAGGCAGACTACCTTGAAATCCAGGACAGATCTTTTTCTAGTGAAAGAAGTCCACCCAGAGAGGCAAGGACCTGTTCTGACAACTCACCACTATGGCTGAAGCTAAACAGACAAATCCAGCAGCAACCCAGGTGAAACACACAACTCTGCTGAGTCCGCGCTCATTAGGCAAGAATTTCCAGCTGCTGGTCAAGACCTATCTCTGCTAAACCAAAGGACTCCCTTGATTTTCAGCTTCCTGTTCCTCAAACAGTTTGATCCATGGATGAAGTCAAAATCTGCTATTATCATAAGCTTTCAGATCACTGTTCTCCAGGTTCCTCCTTGAGTCTTCTCCAGTTTTACCCCACCACCTTTCTTGGTCTCTGAGCAGTATCACTGGCCTCAGCAGTTGCACAGATGGCAGATATAAATATCCTGTTCTTCAGTCTTACCTTTAAGATCAGTGTCTAGCCCTGACGACCTGCTAGACTCCATGCTCAGTAATCACATCAGCCCTCACAGTTATGATGTTGCACTGTCACTCAGGCATGACTGATCCCAAAGCTTCTCGCCCCTTCTCCTCTAGTGCTACATCTATCTCAGTTACTAAGCTGAATCCCTCCTGTGAGCATGGCTTGCCTTCATTCCTTATAGGCAGGTAACTCAAGATTTGGCTACAGGAAATCATACATTAACTGTCTGCACAGAGCTTATCTCAGGAACCAGGACACTCTTACAGCAACCGCCTCGTATTTTTTAATGAGTCTCCAAATCTCTGCATCATCTGCGAAGTCCCTGTGTGGCATTAAATCAAATACCTTAGAGTAACCTATCTGTTTTACAGTCATACCTTTAGCTATCATGCTCTGATATATTGTTAAGCAACATCAAAACCACCTTGAGGTCAAGATCCACTTTCCATAAAACTGCATGGACTGCCTACAGCTATGTTCTTCCAGTTTTGGGAGATGCAGACTGGCAAGAAACCAAGAGAAGCTAAGATATAAAATGCCAATAAATAACCAATTGTTTATAAATATACCATCTTTCCTTATTAAGTTTAGGACACTGACAATTGTACAATGTACACTAAAAAGACCTTTCTTCCCTCTGAAGTCAGCCAACAGTCTGCATCCCCTCAAATTCCTTTAAGACATGGTGACAGCAATTTGTGCCATCTTCTAATCTGTTCAGTGCTAGAATTTACTGATGTTCCACCTTTCCAAAAATCTCCCCTTGTGATCCAAATGCTAGGACCTACTGCTAAGTTGGTTGTCAGGGATATTGCACTTGCTTGCTTTGCTCTCCAACATTGATTTTTCTGACATTGCGTGCCACAGATCTGTATGTAAGGATTTCACCCCAATTTTTCATCCATTGTCCTACACTGGTCAAAGTGGGACAACAAGCCCTAGCAATCTATTTTGTTCTTTACTGTCCAAAACCCACCATATGCACCTTTAAGTCTTGTACCAGTTACACTGTTAGTAAAACACTGTTTCCTTTAAGCGACCAGCTTAGTCATTCTTCTTGGAATAGATCCCCAAGAGAGCTGCTGCATGTAATGCTTGGAAAAATGCAGAATGATCAATTTTCCTTCTCCTGGATTGTTCTTTTAGCAACCCTATTTTCTTCCTTAAAAGCATGTTTAAAAGCAAAGTGGTATTTACCCTTTAATAAAGGAGGGTTTCTAATAATAAACATGCACACAGCATTAGAAAGTTCTGCAGCAGATGAAGTGTGATTTCATTGTCTGAGTGCTCTAACACCCCTTACCTATGGTAAATATCTCAGATCCTGTGAGATGGTCTTGTGGTGCAGCAGTAAATTATAGAGCGGGGGGGAATCATTTCTCCCATTTGAGAAAGGCAATCCACAAGCAACAAAACCTGGCATATGATTAATTTTGTGCTTGCCACTGCTTATTGCTGAATGGTTGCTGCTCACAACAGCTTGCTTGTTCACTGGAAGCCTTGTTTGCTGATGTATGAAACTTGGCACAGATTTTGAGGCTGACATCAGAAAGCATCTCTGAATTTGGAAAACCACAGTACCCACTAAGCATATTCCCCCCACTCCCTCTGGTTGCTTCTGGAAATACAGCTCTTCCACCAATGCCCTACACCTCCTAAACAAAACACCAACTCTTAAAGAAAAACAATCTGGTGCTTCCATGTCCACAGCAGAGACAACAGTGGGAAGTTACCACATTAAATTGGCTGCATGTATCAGAATGAATCAGACCAGAAAGGAAATAAAATATACCAGACCAGACTCTAGGGTTTTTTTTTCAGATTTCTTTCCCTTGGGACCCAAATATTGCCTCTCTTTCCATAAACCAGGGGGTCCTCTTTACATAAAGATCTCCTAGGTAGAGCAGGAGAGGAGCCCATGGCCTCAACTGCCAGGATGCCAAAAAAACTCATCTGCAGAGCTGCTGGAGGGGGGCTGGTGAAAAACAGCCTTAGGAGCTGGACTGGAAGAGAAGCAGGGAAGGCAGTGGTCAGAAGGTCATCACAGAGAGGATAAAACTGCATTTTATTTTGAGGTCTGATGACACACATGGAAAACAAACAAACAAAAAAATCTGATGGCCTGCAATGGTTTGCTGGAGCAGAAAGTCCAAAAACTTGTCACAAGTATGCTTTGTAGAAAAAGGTGTGGTGAAAGCCTGTTACTGTTCAAGAAAACTGAATTCTTGATTATGGGAGAAAAGCATTTTCCTGTATTTCAACTCTTCAACAAGGGTGTCTATGATCCTGTGCCACTCTGAATGAGCCATCTCCAGCATCAGACGCATCCTGAGTCAAAGTGGGTTTACATGCCCCAATTGCCACTGTGCCACCAAGACATGTTTAAAATTACTTCATTAAAAGGTTTTCACTCTCCAATTCTCACATTTCACCAAGAAGTTGTATTAATTACTATGGTTCAGAGCAACCATTATTTTGCAAGAGAGCTCTGACAATATGCAACTGTCTGAGACTGTAAAAGCTAATCTTCCAATTTCCTCAATGAGGTATATTCTATGAAACTACAAAAATTTTCTGAGCACAAGGCTCTCAATAGAATCGGTAATTCACTTGACTTGAAGAAAAATGTCTGGGTTTTATAGTGTCTGTCTAGGTTTGATTGTGTTGCACTAAAAGGCTGAGATCAGGTAACGTGTTATATACATCATATGTACCATATACATGCAGAATACTGTAGTTCCTTTTCTCATACCTGATTGATGATGTTTGACTACCAGGGCTTTGCTGCCTGAACGTATAGGTGAACCCATAAACCATGGATGTTGTTTGGGTAGCAGACATCATTTTAGAGTCTCCCAAGTTCAAGCTGAGACTACTGGAAGGTGGATGAGAGTAATTATGAACTGTGAGGACACTTCAAATAGTCAACCTCTTAGAGTGCATATGTGTGCATATCCACAATTAGAAGGGCAGAAGAGACCCTTTCATAGTCTGTGGATTATGTTTAGCCTTGGCTTAGATCTGTATACTAACAAAAAAATTAAGAAAGCAATGCCATGGGGGTAGGAGAGGAGCACTGTTTTACTGCTTTTATATCTGCTATAGAGGATGACTTTAGAAATGTTCTTGCCCCATTCTCACCATGAATTGTTTGTTCAGCTGGCTCAGGTTGCTGTTTCATTGCCCTTTTCTGCTAGATAGGAAATCTGCTTCACAATTTATGGAAGATACCACCAATAAACCTGATGAGTAAAGTGGGTGACACCACACGCTGGTGGCTACCCGTGCTAATTTGTATGTTAGGCTTGACCTGTCTTTGTCTTTTAATGGGCAAATTTATTTTGTGCTATTTAACAACACTGCTTTGATAATACAGTCTAGCAAACCTAATTTTCCAGCTTCTTTACTAAGCCAGGTCTGACAAATCCAAAGAAACCGGTTTAACCAGTGCACAGAACCATCAACAGGAAGCTTTACAAGGACTAACTGATAAGCTGTGGTCTGTGTATAGGTGTTTTTTCTCTGTGCTGAATAGCTGAACTCTTATTTTTCAACCACAGCCAGTCCTGCCTTGCTGCTGGACTGCTGACGGCTGGACCCAGAGCATTGTTGCTCAGCACATGCCATCCCCAGGACTGAGAGGGGAAGAGCTCTCAGTGCCACAGGACAAGGACTTGTCACTTTACAGGTTGAGAGCCACAAATAAGGGCAGGTACCAAAGAAAGGAGTCCTGAGCTATCATCCACACTGCAGTTTTCTTTGCTATGACACTCACAGTCACATGCCAGTGAAACAATTACTGAAAGCGCTAGCTATTTTAAAGCCCAGCTATAAAAGTCACCACTCAAAAATACATTCTGTGTAGATGTTTTCAAAGCTGGGTTCCTCAAGTTAAGTGAAAGGATGTCATGCCATGAAAGAAGGGTCAGGGGTTTCAGAGAGAGCTCAGAGAGCACGACTCCAGCCTGGCTCAGAACATGTGTCTTGCATGACCATGCATGAGGCACCTGGGACAACATCCTGGGCACAGGAGGGAGCCCCAGGAGGGTGCCCCAGGAGGGTTTTCTACCCATTGCATTACCTGCGCCCCTCCATGTCACAAGGAACCAGGGAGGACACCAGGTCTTAAGGTACTTTACAGGTCTTAAGGTACTCAGAAACTGTTGATTTCAGGATGAACACATCAAGCAGATCCACTTGAATTTCCAGAGGTCCTTCTCATCCAGAACGTCTGTTAACTTCAGTGACCGCAATAGCATCCAAACTCCTCAGAAAAACAGGGTATGCACTCAGACTATTTACTGCTAGACTTAGGTAGCCTTCGGGGTGACACAAAGTGTGGACTTTGCATTTTATTTTTAGCTAATATTGCTGTGGCTCTTTGTCCATAGGACAAAAAGCATTTTCAAAACTGTGTGTTTTATTCTTATTGTATCTGTGTTCTAGATAAAAGGATCTTTATTACGATTATGGAAATATTCTGAAAAACTGTCTGCTAATAAAAGATAAGAAGCCAGCTGAGTAACAGAAGTTCACTCACTGTTTTCTTAGCAAGAAAAATATTCAGTTATATTATCAGATGTAATGACTGATATATGAACTAAGACAAAATACTAGGATATGTCCTAGAAATACTTCTTTTTCAGCAGATGAAGAGTTTGTCAATCAAATATTTATTAATTTTTTTTCACAGGTATTATTTCTATCAGGTTCATAGATGTATTTTATATATGCGCCTCAGAAATTACTCGTTCTCTGTAGAATTTGCATAATACTTTATGAATAAGTCTTTCTAGCTATAAGAAATTCCCAGAATGTACATATATTTATGTATAAAACAGACCAAAATTAGAGGGCTGCTTTTCAGTGTTTGATTCCACATGTATTTGTGGTAAAGACAATAATCAGCTGCTGGTCAGACAATAGTTAAGACAACAGTTCTGCATGCATCTGTTTGCTACAAAAGCTGCTTCTAAGAAGCCGTTTTCTCTCAGAGCCACCTTCTGCAATATTTATGTTGATTACTACCTTTCACTTAATTTAATTGTACATGTTGGAATAAATGTTAGGAAACTTTTTTTCAAGCCAAGTAACACCCACCAAAATTCAATTCATAAAACCTGCAGTTCATAGAATCACAGAATGGTTTGGGTTGGAAGGGACCCTAAAGATCATATTGTTCCAACCCCCCCTGCCATGGGCAGGGACTCCTTCCACTAGATCAGGTTGCTCAAAGCCCCGTCCAACCTGGCCTTGAACACTGCCAGGAAGAGGGCAATGGTTCAATGTAATGTCAGAATTTCTACTGACCTGGTTCCATGTTTGATGGAAACCACAGGCTATGTGCACAAATTGGTCCACAGGAACGTACGTGGTTCTCGCCCACGGCAGTTGTATAAGAATAGGTATGTGCAAGGGTCAACTCTCAGTGGGATGGTTTAGTCTATATGCAAGCTGTTCAGGTAGTCTATTAAAAAACCTATTCAAGTTTAGGACAAGAATAAAATCATGAGGCAAGTGGGGAAATTGTCTTGGGGAAAAACCAGAGAGGGCAGGTGTCTTCTTTGTAAGCAGGGAGGAGCTAGTTTCACTTCTGAGCTGGATGATAATGCAATAAATAACCTATTCTGCTGATGGGAACTCTTATGACAGGCACCATGTCTGTGCAGTAAGGGAAGTCCCTGCCAACTGCTGCTGTATAGGTCCCACCGGTGCCTATGGCTGCAATCCAGGCAGTGCATGCCCCAGTTCACGGTGTGCTGTGGCCGCAGCTGCACCCCTCACACATTCCCTGGGAGCCCCTCTGCCTGTGTCTGCCCTGACAACAAAGATCCCACTCCTCACCTTGCCAGAACCATCTGCAACTGCACATTTACCAACCAGCACTTTGCATCCAGGACACAACAGTGTGATCAGGATCTGTCACACTTACAATCTTGTAAAACTGAGGATAATCTTAATACCTTTCCCTGAAGCTGTTTTCTTGAGTTTCTTGACCAGTAAGCCTCCTGCCACAGGCAGCCCTGACAACCCAGCTATCTTGACGCCTACCCTCACACCCACTAATAGATGTTGAGATGTCATTCAGTCATTGCTAAACTTGTTCCCAGCAGGTTCAGTCATGTGCCCCTCTCACACTTAGCACATGGCACTACCCTCAGAGGAATGTAACCAGATTATGCCTAGTTTACTCTGACTGATTTTCATTTTACACAAGTTATTTTGTAAAATGGAGAACACAGGTCTTAAAAATCCATGGGCTAGCACTTCCATTGACCACATACTTCACCTGAGGAAGGAGCATGCACTGCAGCCTGCACCTTCACGACTATTTTAAAGCCCATTACTATAGATTCAGTTAAGCACACCGTGCTCTTGCACAGGGATGCAGACCCTGCCCTCTCCCTGAGCCCCATGGATGCTCTTTGCAGAAGCAGCCTTTGGATGTACAGTACCTGCCGTTTCTGGTATCGTGTTGCCGCATGTTCTTGATAAAATGAACCTTCTTAAAGTTCTTTGGTCTGGGTGATCCTGAGAGTGTCCGACATCTGAAAAATAAATCAGTTGGGGTGGAGGGGGAGAAAGAAAAAAATAAAAGTACTCAGTTCCCTGCTGTACGGCCAAGAAGTCTACACAAAGGCAGGAAGGAAAGACGAGACAAATGATTCAAGTCACCCTGTGTTAGGAATCAGCAAGAACAATAAAGACAATAAGTCTGGAAATGCGACAGCTCAAATACAAAAAAATATTTTAAATAATAATAAGAAAAGGCACCACCACCCCTCCCTTCATGCAAAAAAACACATCATAAAAAAACCTCAGCAAAATAGAACTTCCTGTAATCTGCCGTGACAGCTTAGCCCAAGCTTTCAGAGGAGAAAAAAAAATAAAATTAAACTAAAACAAAACCTGGTTATGGGATTTTCCTGCCCACACTAACACCCACACTTTTGTATCCTCCTCGGCTATTGATAAAAGAGCTACTGAGTAAAGTTCTTTCTAGTTTTAATTTTAGAAAGATTTAAAATCTCTCATTTGCAAGGATAATTCCTATTTGCTTTTTACTCTAAATATTACTTTTCACATTCCTGACAGCATACAAAACAACTGAAAATAAATTACCTCGGGGGTAAAAAAAAGTATCTTTCTTCAAAACATTAATCCTTAAATCTATTTTACATCTGAAAGCACTTTTTAAATTGCAGTTAGAGAAAGAAATTGCCAGAGGGAGGAGAGATGAGACAAACAGCAATATCCCCCCCCCCATTCCATCCTTGCTCTTTTTAATCAGCTGAAACCACAGTGCATGTGAAAGCTTTCTCTGTTTCATCTCAGTGTTGTTGTGTTACAAGCCGCAGCACAGCGCGCAGGCACCAGAGATAACTTCTGTGCTCGCTGCACGGCCAGGGCTGCTGGACCGCAACGGCTGCATCCTCCGTGGGAGCAAAGGGACAAGCATCCTCTGCCAGCACACGGGACCAGCACAGTCCCTCTGTGTTGAGCCTCCCTAACCTATTTTTCCCATCCTCTCCTATGCATAGGCAGAGTTCAGCAACTTCCCAACCCTGGGAGGTCCTTTTGTTGGACTGAAACCGCAGACCACTGGTCCCAAGCCACCAAGAACTGCCAGTCCCCACTGTACCCAAATGCCACCACCCTCCATGGGAACACCCCAGAGAGGGGGACCCCATCACTTTGCCAATTCTGCCTACTTGTATTAGTGAAATCCTTTAGATTCTCTCACCCTCTGGTTGCAATTAGCCTTGTTAGCTTCTTCACAGGAAAATACCACCAAGAGAGAGGTTCTACCAGTAACTCTGCTGATTAGCAAGTAAAAATACTGCCTTGCAAACCATACACATTTGAATCATTTATAAGAATGCTTCATAACATGCTGGTAAGCGTTCAACAGTAAGCTTGGTAAAAATAATCAAGCCTTGGTAGTAGGCCAGTTGGTACAGCCTCTGCTATTAAGTCTTTGCTTTGAGGTGGGGAGAGACAGGCAATCTGCATGTGGATAAACAAGGCTATAGGCTAAACATCAATATAAACCAGCTGAATTACAGGTCCCAAGATAAAGAGACATTCAAAATTAAGCTGCTGCCTTGCCAAACAGCTGACCTGGAAGTGTACCATGCACTGGGGTCAGATTACTTATCAGCCTGTTTCTGAACTGTTAAGCAGTTGCTCCATTTTCCATCACCCCAGAGGATTGACTAGTGACTAATTACTGTGGTCCCCAGAGAAGCTGTGGCCTCCTGGATGCAGAAATAAAACTGCACTGAAGCTGCTGGTATAACAAGGATGGGGGCAGATTTATTAGTGAGGTAGCAGTTACAAACTTAACAGCCAACACAGAAAGACAGTAACACTGGTTACCAAAATAAGATTGTGAGTGCTGAGAGAACAAATGATAAAAATCCATAAAAAATAAGAATACTAAAAATACTAGCCTTCAGAAGCTTACTTTATTAAACCAGCTTGTACTTACTCTTCAAAGGTACTATGTTAGAGGCTAGTCACTCCTACTAGTGACAACTGAACCATTCTATTAATCAAATCTGACTTTTTATGTCCTGACATTTTATGTAAATAGTATTTCTTTAATTTAATAACCTAAAGCCAGGGAACGTGTAATTCATGTCACCTATCAACTTGCAGCGTGTGTGAGGTTTCACTCTACCCACTACGAAGAACAGCTTTAACATGAACACCCTGCTACCTTCCAACATGCACAGGGACAGCAAGTCTGTCTGTGCATGTGCTTTAAAGACAAGTAACCAGAGAGAGAGTAAATAAAATGACCTCCGCAGTGGGGCATTTTCCTCTATGTCCTCCAGAGTCTCCAGAGAAGATCGCTGGGAGATCAGCCGTCGTCTGCAGAGAAAACAGAACACAAAACACCGTGGTTTAGAGTGCATGAAAAGTCCTCAGAGCTGTTAATTTAGTAAAACTCACAAACTGCCATTCACTAGCTGAACCATACCTTTGGATATTAATCAATTTTGCCGTGTTGTGATTACCTTACTGAATCAATTTGATCCCAACAAGAAGCAAACTTAGTTCATACAAGCTTCACACAAGCAAAACAGAAGTTGAAACTTCCCAACAGCTCCTCCTCAGTTTGTGCTTTCAGGTTTTCCTTCCTTCAGGGGTTTAACACCCACCTAACACCAGTCCCACATTTGCTGTGGTATAGTTTGCAATGCTACAAGTACACTTCTTTGATAAAGTAACGCAGATGTGTATCTACAGAGACTGCCTGTCATTCACACTGCCACAAGAGGCACTTACTTCTCTTTGCCCCTTGCCCTTTTTACCAAATGAATGCCACTCTCACTGATGTCCATCTCATGGCTTCTGTGAGGAGTGACTGAAGAGAGATGAAAGATGATGGAGCCAGCAGCAGTGGCACACACCAGCAGTTTAAAAGGGATCTCTGACCATCCCTCTGAGCAGCACAGATTAGTTTAATCCTGTTTTAAACCAGTCTTTTATGTCTGAGTCAGATCCCTCCTCCACCTTCAGTGAAATGAAGTAAGGAAATATTAGCATTTCAAGTTTTCTGTCTGTTCTAGTGGGCTGAGAAGAAGCCCCAGTACAGGCTTGGTTTTAGCCGCAATTGACGCTGCACAACCTCCAAACAACGCAACGGCATCACAAAACGAGGAGCTGTACCCAGCCCTCCAAGAGACACCAAAAATACACACACACACAAAAAGAAAAAGGTATGAGATACAGCCCAACTGCAGGCACATAATAAAAAGTTAAGCTGGCAATCATCAAAATGACGCCATGGGTGGGTGTTAAGCAGCTGCGACGGCCAGCGGAGCGAAGGTGCTGTGCTGCAGCACCCGGCTCGCACGAGGAGTGTCAGTACCCATCGCTCCTAGGGGCCACTGCCAAGGTGTACAGTGCCTTGCCAGTGATTTTCTGAGTGTGAACTTAAACGATAAAAGTCCTCATAGACTACCACTCTTTTTTCCCCAGTTACCTTAATATCCTTCTCACTGACCTGCCTTAGTCCCTTGACCTGCAAAGTAAAGTTTCCCCTTTACAACATTATAAGCACCCCTGTGCTGGGAATGGTGCTCATTAATTTATTCCTGGGCTGTATTATCACAACAAATTGTTTTCTCTGATGCCAGTGTAAGCAGTTTTTAATCCTTCTTGCAATTTGCTAGCCCCTCCAGTTGTGCTGCTACAACTGTTCCTGCAGCCGTGCTGCAAATCTGATTACCGAAATGTTTTTCAGTTCAAAATAACCCTGAGGTTCAGTGATTCAGTTTACTACTAGTTCAAACACCAGATTTCTGTCACTAACCTCCAGGCAACACATTTCAGGACAGTTTGAATGTGTGTGCAGCTTTTTGTGTACTTAGAAAAAAACCCTCAAACAATTTTTAGAGCAACTAAGTGTGAAGCGTAATCCTCTTAGGAAAATATGCAAACCTAAATCCCCTCAGGCTTTGTCTAAACTAGAAATTCATAAGATCTGGTGCAAGATAGGATACACCTTCAAAATGCTAAGAAAAAATAAAGTCTGCACTTCAGGATGCGCTGAACTTGCTGGTGCACACAAGGAAGGAGATAACAAACATCGGCCTCCTGTGCCCATGGATGCTCCCTTGGCTCCATCCACAGCCAGAGGACACAGAGATGCTCTCCTAGGGAGAAATTCAGATCAGGAGGAGCTCCCCCTCCATTTTCAGTTACATTGGTCCATAAACAAATCTTGGAGGCTTCAACTACCAGCACTGCTGATGTAGCAGATGATAGCTGTTGCTTTTTAATATCTCTTTATATGTCATTACCTTAATACACTTAAATTATGGCACCCACCCATCTTGCGGTGTTAGAACAATGAAAGCGTACTTTAAGTGTTGTTAGTCAAAGAGAGATGAACAACAGTACAACCTTGCCACCTTCTCTGTATTAAATTTATCAAACTAGACACACAGTATATCCCTTAGATGCCTGGCAGGTGCCATAAAGGCACTTGTACAACACCAGATGAATATTCCAGCTGCCACTGCAACCCTTCTCCAAGTCTCTCCTTGCCCAAAGTTACACACCATCCTCAACTCCATTGCCAATGGCTTGGTGGAGATGGCTTTGAAGAGCCTACATTTGCATCTGTTATTAAGGCAGATGCATAAATTGGCAGAAATACACACCACTGCATTTCAACAACTCCAGGGCAGTTTTAAATGCTGCTGACTGTTCAGATGCCTTTGGCTTCCCTTGCTGGTCACAACTTCTTAAACCCAGCACTAGGGATGCTGCCTCCTGGTTTTTGCTTGCTAATTCTGAATGCAACACAGGCTGGATGGGGATCGCTGCCACCCCTCTTGGCACAAAAGAGCTGACACTGACTTTCACTGGTAGTGATTTTTGCAGTATTTTGAGGACCTAACAGAAGTGAGTCTGCACAAAGAAGCAGGAGAAAACTTTGCTCACCCAGGCTTGAGATAAGAGCACTGACACTTAAGCTCTCTTAACTAGTATGAACATAAGCACAACTCTGGATAAATTCATCGAGGAAGGAAGGAAGCAGATAACCCCCTCCCTCAAATCACCCCAATGAAGCATGGGTCACACAGAACCCTGCAGTGATAAAAATGGGGGCTGCCCCAGCCCAATCCCCTCCCTATGCTGGCATCAGTAGCAGTGAGACAAAGACACCCGGTCCAGCATTCAACCCAGCTGAACCTGCCACATCTTTCACCTCTCCCCAAAATCATTAATCGGTTCAGCTCCCTGCACAATCACACGAGCACCAGTGGGGTGGATCTGCAGCAGCAATTCTGCTGAAAACAGTTCATATTGCCCAGGAATTGCACTTTCTTTTCACTGAAGAAGCTCAGCCGCAATGAAATATGCACAATTACTCCACTTTATCTTAAATCTTATTTTGAGGTCTAATTAAGATGACCTAAATACCAGTATTTTATAAGCTTTCCACAGCTGGATATTATACAAGAAACGCCAACTAATAAACCTACCTGCTGTGAACCAAGTCGCATCCTGTGCCACACACACAGGAAAAGAACAATTTTGGAAAAGCAAAGCTTTTGAAAGGGTGTTCAAGGGAATGCAAGTGAAACCAGTTTTTCATTCCTTTCATTAAAAATTAATCGCCTCAACTGGTGTTTAATATTTAAATTAATTTATCATCTTTCTTCAGGCAAGCAGTCAGGGCTTGTCTATACAACTTCTAAAGGGTTATTTTTCAAAAATTGATTAACGTGCTGTAACAGCTGCTATATGTAGACACTTAAACTGAAATAACCCAAACCGTTCTCTATCATACATTATCATCATTCTGATGTAAAGCTGTGTTGGTACCTATTTTATAATAAAAAATGTCCTATTTCAATAATAATTAGGGCTAAGAAAGAGTATCTATAGGCAGATCAAAACAAAACAGCACTATGTGACTCATACAGGATTTAGGCTTTGGGGTAAGTCTTTAGGCAATGCATTTTCAATATAAAATGTTTTAAAACTTGTTCAGAGTAAATGTCAGCCAGATAACACACACTAAAATACAATTGCCCGTAATAACAAAATTAAAGATGTTTCAGTAAAAATGTTAATTTCTCCTAGTTCAGGGAAAGCCTTAAAAAAATTCCTCCTAGTTTAACTACCACATCCCAGGTACACCAAACTCACCCCTGTCTCCCCCCCACCCCCATGCACACCGAAGAAAGCAGTTTAGCTCTGGAAAGGTGATGATCTCCTAACTATTAGTCCCTGTAAGACATTGTCAGTCACAGTCTCATGCAACTTATGGATTTCTTCTGTTTTAAAATCATGTAATAACACTTTCCCTTAAGAACCTATCTCAAATATTTCTTTTCTGTTTCCTCCCTGTTCCCTGTGCAATTCTTACATGAGCCCAGAAATAAACAATACCCTACAACCAAATTCCAAGTCCAGTCCAAAGAAAGAGACTAAAGATATATCTGACGCCCTGGTATTTTAAACAGCTGTTTTCTAAGATATTCATGACTCTGTTTGCATACTGGATTTCTTTTTGACCAGCTGTCTGAATCTCTGTGGAAGTTTCTTAAAATCTAAAATGTTGTCTCTGTTCCCCCCCTCCAAAGTCAGATTAATATGTGGCTCAGTTGCAAAAAATCAAATAAAATCCAATGACAAATAAAATAAGGCAGGTCTGTAACCAAAACAGCAAACAGTCAAAGTGAGTAGACTGCAAAAAGATTCACTGTAACCAACTCATCAATCGGTGGAAAATTATCTTCACTGTCAACTGCTGCAAATACTCAGCTCAATTATGTTAAACATACAAAGTCTTAAGCCCCACAGACAGGAGGTGATAAAAAAATGGAACTGCAATCAGAACACTGGATAAATTAATCCAGGAAGGAAGGAAGGAAGCCGATGATAATCCAACAGATAAGGAAAAATAAATCCATGTGTAATGACTTTCTTGCACAGCTACAAACCCAGGAAGAAAAAGCTGCATTTTAAATACGCCTAATTTTTGTAAAAGTTGTGGGTGTAGATCGCCCTTGCTTCTGCTAAAATAACAAAACTACAATGGCTGAAGCTAGTAGTGTGAGTGCCATTGGCTCCCAGAACAAAAGCATCTCTTAGGACAAGCTTCTCTGCTTTGTCTGGGACAACTGAATCCCTTCTGAGATGCAGAGATGACGGGACACACAAGAGATAATAATCTGAACATCTGCTGACTGCATTAAACACTAATGGGAGAAGTTGGGAGGGCAAAGACATTGCAGTAGCTGAAGACTGCTGGTAGTTCACATGCCCACTGGGTCACGTCCTCGCTTCAGGTGGCCAGGGAAAATGAACTTGCATGAAGAAGAGCCATGGGACAACAACAACAGGGCTATTACCTTCTGGTCACAACTGTATTTCTAATATTGTGCCTTGGGAGCATCAGAAAAGTACAAGACTTCTTGGCACTTGGAAAATGTTGAATTCCTTATTTTCACCATGCCTTCATCACAAAAGCTGTATCCTATGAGCAGGAATTCTCTTGTTACATACACAAGGGAAGTGGAAATAAAGTTATAAAACTTGCAGCACAGGGGAATGAGATCAGAATACCTGTGAGGATACCTTGGGGCCTGCCTAGAGTTGTAAATGGAAGGTATCTCTCTGCTACCCATCCACCCTTCTGCAAGGTGTCAGCTCTGGAGTCAAAGAGAGGCTCTTGCCCAAAAGCCATCCTAGTCCTTTGCAAACACTTCCTGGTGAGTTACCAAAACATGCTCTGGATGTGTAACATCCATAGGTCAAACCAGGCAGAGCATCACCTTGATCCTACCTCTGTGGGAACAGCAACCCTAGGGCTGTTTTTTCATTGTGCTTCATACTGTTTCCTCCGGCACCAAAATGGCTTGAACAGTAAAAAGAAAACAAGGAGAGTATTCAATGAGATGTAAGATCAGGCTTCTAGGTGATACAATGGGAAAAAAATATATATAATATGTATTGCAAGTAAGTATATATATATATATATATATATATAAAAATACAGTTCTGGTCTATAGTCGACAACAAATTTTAACTGTTCAGTATTTTAGTTCCTTCAGCACATGCTGGTCACAAACATATCTTCCAAGCAACTCTAAGTTTTGAATAAGGTACATTTACCACTCTTTTCCCTAATTCCTTTGGAGTTAGGATTTGGGTATAAACAAACGCAGCTGCTGGCTGTCTCCTGGGCCAGGGGAGCAGGCAGTCAGCAAAGAGCTGTCAGACACAGGCAATGCCCTGTCCCCAGCAGCCCCAGACCCTTCGTCACCCTGGGGAAACCTAAAAGCCACTTTGACTCCTCAGCCTGCCAGCTGCACGCCTCTGACCAAACTCCCAGGCTAAGCTGACATCAATTAATACACTCTTCTGAAATATTATACAAGACATCATCTGTGTACGAATCCCCATTCACTTCCTGACCCCTGACTCCATTACCCAGCATGAACCCAGATGAAAGACTCACTAATGAGTCACCTCTCGCCCTCCCTCTGAAGTTTTTATTGGGATTCCTATGTCCCAGCTCATTTTCTAGCTATCTTTTGCCAATATCACAGGA